GACGGATGAGGAAAGTACGGATACGGAATTTAAGTGCCTGCCTGCCTAGCGAGAGCGAAGCGAAACAAGGAAAGTACGATGCTCTCTGGTGGTGAGGTGGTTACAATTCGGGAAAGCGGCAGAATGCAAAGGGACTTCCTTCCTTCTTTCCTCTGACCGACCGAGAATAACTTTACCTACTAGCCACCTAAGGTAAGGTATCTTACGGGCAACGGCTGAACCCCGGACGGATCGACGGAGGAATCATGGAACCTTGCTGACTTCAACGTTGACGGTCGATGTTGCAGCGCAGGAAGGCGCAACGGTGACGGGCTGCACCTTCTCCCAGGAGGAGTTCGGGCCCGAGGACCCAAGCTGAATGGATCCATGACTGAGCCACCCCCGAAACCACCTAACCTGTCAACATCACAACCTCAACCGGCTGGGGGTCCACGACATTCGGCGAGATACGCAGCGTGCATACAACTGCCCATTTGTATTACGCCTACATTCGCAGAAAATCCCTCGCACTCGCAGAGGATCTTACGACATGACTGCTATTGGCTTTACTGCCGCTACCCACGTGGACGTGGATGCCCGCAACCACCCGCCACGCCTACCGTCCTCGTCAGCCCGACCCCGAGAAAGCTGCTCACCTTACGCCTGTCTTCGGGCGGGATCGAAATCAATAGGGCAGCCCGCCCGAGTCTAGGAGACCTTACAGGACCCCGAGACCGCCATGAGAAACCGGCCTCCGGCCACGGTCCACGGTCCACCGTCCACCGAGCCCGCGGAAAGCGAACCCAAGTTTACCAAGAAATGCCAAGATATGCGCCAATCAAACACCTGTCCAAATCATTGACAACCGCGCGCGCATTATTGACACACCTGAATGAAAGGGGAAGCAAAAAAAAAACTTTCTCACGATTTTGTTTCTGCCCCCAAGAAGAAAGCCCAGCATCAGGTCATCTGCCTCATCATCTTGGCTTTGACCCTAATGCAACTGCGCAAACCCCAGATGACATGACGGGGCCGAGGACGACTACTACCACAATACTACGGTATGGGGCCCAGCTTAACATGGATTCGGGTGGACTTTGGCCCTTCCATTTCAGAATCGTCGCCCGGCGTGCACCAGTGACCAGACCGCAAACACACCCCTGGCCTGGCCGCTCCACGGCGGTGACAATACGGCGTGTGCGAGGCCGATGTGCCCCAGTTCGGCATCGCGAGCTGCCGACGCTTGCACAAAAACGCGGCACCGCGTCTTCATAATTTCCAGCCCTTGCCAAACCGCCGGCCGATCATTCACGATCGCCTGCCTAAAATACGGGGCGCCTTGTCAGGGGACCAGGTGCACCCGCCAACGTTAGTGTTGTCGACTGTTGGTCATCACCTCTCAGAGGACCCGTTTTCTGTCCGATCCCGACGATGTGGACAGAGTGGGACGGCCGGAATAGTGTTGCAGCCCGACTGGCTGTTCTTTCCATGGGCCAACACAGAGAAAAAGTCGAGAAGGAAAAAGAGGGCAACAATTTAATCACGACCGGCCGATACTTGATACGCACCGCCATGTATCCCACACCACCGTGTTTCGGCCATCTGACAGCGGAGTTAACCCACCGTTTTGTTATCGTCGTGTGGTATCCGTATCCGTATGTACATTCTACGGATATCGATGCACTAGCAACACAACGATGCGCCTCGTAGGGCAACGAAACAACATCCTGACTGCGAAAAGTCCGACGTTTGCGGCCGAGAGGATTTTCGTCCTCGAGATTGCCTCCGAACAATATTCCCTTGTTCGTCAACGAGAGCAACTATTCTCTGTACCTTGCCTTAGACTTCAACATCGGGCATTCTACTTTGACGGCAGTTGTTGAGGCTCGCCCGCCCTTCAGACATGAGGCCGGCGGAAAACTTTCTGCTTACTGGAACTCTTCAATCTCGGCCCCGGCACTCTTCATTTACTGGAGAAACCCAATATGGGCCGCTGACAAAGCCGTTGATCCCCAAACAACACCCAACCCAGGGATTCCCCAGCATCGTCAACCTAACTCAGACAAGCCGCCCAACCCAACACGTGAACTCACAAGGTGCCATTGCCTACGCCGTCTGAGCCCCTTCAAACATTGTCACCGGCCCTGATGTCCGTGAACGACATTTCTCCCTAGACCTGAAGCAGCAAGAAACCGAAAATCCACAGCACTCTCAAACTCGGCCATTGACGATGACTGAACGAATCCCGCCCTCGCACCAGCAACGAGAGGGAAAAAAAATCGACTCATAATGATGGTCCTCCACTGTCGGACCGCGGGGTTTACACAACCCCGTCCCGCCCTCCGTCACAAACGCCGAGATCACATTTCGATTTCCAACCACTCTTTAGCGCCCCCCTTCTAGCGCGCAAAAGCTCTCATCCAGCAGCGCGCCAGAACCCGCTGTCTTTACCCAAACGCAGTATCATCGCATGAACATCGCCCTGAGCTTCCCGCGTTTAGTGGAACACACGCTGTGGGGCCGCCGCGTTGTGAAGGCTCTTGGGATCGAAAGATGATCGCAAGGCGGACGCTTTCAGACGGTTTCCGTCCCTGTGTTTGCAAAGTTTTTTCTACGCTGGATGATGCTCCCTTCTTTCTCGCTAGAACAACCCTGCTTCGAGGCATGCGCTTCCATGCGGCAGGGCGTTCCCGTCCTCGTCTCTCGAGGAATTTGGTTCCGCGTGTAAAATGCGTTGAACGTGCGTCGTCGTGCGTCTCTGCGCAGACCGTTGGCTTTTGCGTCCTGCCACTGCCAATGCCGCCCGCAGACGCAACAGCTACACTTTACAACACGCCCCCGCTTTCGCATCTCACACACCCCTAGTGATCAACGGAGCAAGGATCCCGGCTGCACTAGGGGAATCTTTGTCCAGAACGACCAAGACTCTTGATCGAGTGGCTTAGAGAGGGGCGTGACGACGACTGGCTCGGCCTCCCGCCCGCCGCCTCGGCGGACTTGGAGTCTCTGTTTCGTCCGCGCCGAAGGGACTTATTTTCCGTGGTGATCTGCTGCGTATTTGCCATGTTGTCGGTGGCCTTGTGGTGATGCGACATGAGCCTGACAAGCGGCTCATTTCTCTCGAGAAAGGCAAACTATCGAACCAAGAAAGGGGCGCCCCTTTGGGCATCGAAATGCCGTGGGCTGCTGTCGTCCCGCCGGTCTGGTCCCCGTCGGCCCCCAAATCATCTACAAGCTTTGATCAGGCATTTGAAGATCAACTCTGACCTGGATGCAGATGTGGGGACCGCCAGAAGCTTGGAGAAATGTTCAAGACCATGGAAATTACCGAACGAGAAAGAGTTCGATGAGTTGGCTCTCTCTCATGGTCTGGGGGGCTGGGTACGGTGAGGCCCTCCCTTCCCTGTTGAGGCCCATGATCGCCAATGCTCAGTACCTCTTGGGATCGTATCACGTATCAAGAGATTTACCTACTAGTCTCTTGGGCGCCCGCCAAGGCCCCTGTCTCTTCAGTGGTGATCCCAGGACTGGAGGAGGAGTCGGGGTGTAAGTCGTGACGTGGAGTCTCCGTGGCTTATTTTACAACCCTAGGCAACTTTGCGTCGCATTCGCGCCAAACACTCCGCCGACGCGCCGCACAGCGGCCACCGCAAAAGTCCAGCAAGGAGCAATGGGCCAGCAAAAAAATAGGTGCAACGGAGCTGGCTCCTGCGGTGAGAGCGAGCTCCTTTCTCTCCCCCCTCGCCCCTTTCTCTCCCCCCTCGCCCCTGAGGGGAAGCTCAGGTATGAGGGGGAGGGACGCTTCGTAACGCATAGGCAGCTGTTCCCTGTCCGTTGGGTTGACTTGTTGGAGTTGTTGAATGCCTCACACCGTAACATGCCGTCGCCGGCGGACGAAAGGTCGGCGAACGATTCTACTCGCCGCTCGCGCTGATGGAATTTCGCATGCGTGTGTGTCTCATCATCGACTACCAGACCAGACCAGTCCCCTAAATTACTTCATTAGTCGAGCTTTTCGTCCAGATTACAGTCACGGCAGCAACATGCAGTTCGAGAATTGTGTGTGCGTTCATGCCAAAAAACCATGATACTTCGTAAAGCAAACTCTGAAGTTTACAGCCGCCCAGCCAGTCAGAAAAGGTCATTCGAACTGGCGCTTGTACGCTCGTTCGTTTGGTCTTTGCGCTCCTACACACCCTTTTCCCTTTCCTCACTCGTCAGAGAAGATTGGAGAAAACAGAGTCAAAATGGAAGGAGACACTCAAGAATTCATGTTTGAGACTGCTAAAAGGAGTAATCCGGTGACCATCACTGAGAAACGGACGAGGCAGTTTTTTTTGGTAGAAGAGTGTGGAATTTTTGATTTTGGCTTGCGGGTGAAGAAAGCTAAGCTAACTTTGAACCCCTCCCCCCTCCATCACCCTCCTCCCAGCTTTTATGCAAGCTGCTAGCTGCTGCTGCTCCCCGATTCCATCCCAACTCTGGGAGGGGACACCGACGGGAGTGGGAGGGTGATTGGTTTGAAGTCCAAACCTTTCTCTAGTAGTAGTAGTAAGAACCACCGCAGCGCCAGGCTATGCAAAGCGACTGACGTGAACCTGGAACGGAAAAGAAAACCTGGCCGTGATAATACATGGTCCGTCTTGAGTGAGAGAGTCGTGAGACTCTGGACTCCCCCCTTTTTCCCGTTCGTCGTCATCCTCCCCCCCAAAGAGAAATTACCACATTTGGATAAGAAAAAGTGAAAAGCATAGAACGTTTCCCATTAGTCCCCACGTGAACGCCGTGTCGTCGTGAGATTTGGCGACATAAAATCAGAAACTTTCGTAAATTCAACGCCATCGCGGTGTATCGTAAAATCCAACGTTGCGCCTCCCGGTCGCGAGCGCCTGCCACTTCTCCCGCCATTAACCGAACCCTCCGAAGCCCAGTTTTCTATATCTCATAACGCATGAACAAGAAGAGAAAGAGTGCCCTGTTCGGTAAAGGGGCTTGGGTTGAGGTCTGGGCCGGGAAGGGCTTCACAACCGCATCGGTTCGCCGTCGTAGCCACCGTAGATCATCGGGTCGCCCATGCCCATCATGACTTCGGGGTTCGGACATGAGAGGACGTGGGGCTTAATGGTGCCGAATTCGTTCTCGATGAGGCCCTGGTTAAGCATGTCCATGCTGGTGAGGGCGCTGTTTTGCTGATTGAAGAACTGTTGCGCGAGGTCCATAGCGGGCGGCGCAGTCTGGCGAGGCATGGTCCATTGCGGGTAGGCGTTCATGGTGGAGGGAGACTGGTTGTGGAACATGGCGGCGGTTGGGTCGATGGGGGATGCGACGGAGTCGACGTCGAATTCCGTGTAGCCAGTCGAGAAGGACTGAGGTGACATGGTCATTGGGTTGTTGTGCTGAGAGAAGACGGCCTTGCGGTAGTCTGCTTCGAACTCGGAGTGGTCGATCTCGGAAGAGGAGGCGCGGTCGGAGCGTTCGCACGATGATGCCGAGTCGAGCTCGACGCGGGTAGCTGCCTTCTCTGCGTCACGTTCCTTCTGTTGCTCCTCGAGCTGGCGAGCGAGTTCAGCCAGGCCGGCCTCGTCTTCGGGGAAGACTGAGTGGACGGGAAGGTCGATGTCGGAGTTGGGGCGTATGCAGCCAAGCTTCTGAGCGATGTTGTGGATGACGGGTTGACCGCGGTCGTTGAGCTCAGGTTCACCGAGGTCCCATTGTTGGTTATTCCTGACCATGGAGTAGAGCTTGTGGACGGTGGCGATGAGGGCGAACTGAGTGTGCTCGAGGACCTCGGCGTACCCTCTTGGGAGCTGCTTGTATTCTGTCTTCTTGCGAACGCCGGCGGTGCAAACGAGGCCATCGTCTTTACATCTCTTGCAAGGGAACTCTCCGTCGCACTTGGTATGGTCAGATAGGGATGGGATAGAAGCGAGCCGCGAGGCTTACCTTGGTCTTCTTCATTCTACACCTCTCACAGGCCTTCCATACTCTCTTGTGACGACCGTCGGCTGACATGCCTGTTGTTGGGTGGTCGTGGTGTGCTGTAGCGTTGTGAGGGCTGGCGCGCTTCGCGGTGTGACGGTTGGGCTTGATGGACTTGGAGCTGGCAGAGCTCTTCCTGGACTTCTGGTCCTCCAATGGAGGGGTGGGTAGGCCGCTTCCCATTGTATATGATTAAGAGATATGGTGTGAGGTGAGGTGAGGTTATTGTTTGTTGTGTAAGGTGAAGTGGCAAGTGAGGAAGATAGTTATTGTTCCAAGACTCGAGGGGCAAACGGACGTATAAGTCTGTGGGCACAGATGGAAGCCGTGTAAGTGAAGTATAAGAACGAGAACGAGACCCAGTTGGGGGATAACCAAAAAGTAAAGAGTAGGGATGACACAGCCAAGATCCCCGACGGTAGGGGACAGTCAGCACGGCAAGGGAACTAGGATGAAGGGTGTTGGCAAATTATTAATGTCGAGCAGACTGTCGGGGTGCGTCTATTGTGCGCGCGCGAGATTATGTGATGCGGCAGAAGACCTCGGAAGCTTTTGAGTTAATAAAGTTCGGTCGCTCGCAATGCTACAAGGGCGGGCTTTGGGGCGGGCAGGGCGTGTGCGAGTGCGGGTGCGGGTGCGTTGCGACGGCCTGTCTGTTGCTCCTTGGGTCCTGGTCGAACTTGTGGTGCTAGGTGCGGGTGCTGTGCAGAATTGGAACTGATTGTGGGTTGCTGGCATTAACGGTCGGCGACGTCTTTATGTCCGAGTATGCGCGGGCGGGGCCCCTGGTCCAGGAGTGCGGAATCGAAAATGGTCGATGCCAGAGAGAAGAACGGGATGTGATCCTGGTACCGTTTGTACAAGACAAGTTGTGGGATGTAGCTTGTGGGAGCAGCGCGCTAGCAGCTCTTTTGTGTGAACTAGCCGCCAGGAGCTAAGTCCGCAGCGGAGTTCAGTAAAGAGCGAGAGAGGGATAGGATAGGGATTGCGGTATGATTTGCAAGCCGGCTGGACGGTAGGGCTTATGACTGCGAATATGGCGGATTGCTGACCGCAGGACGAGGACGTGTCTCGAGCGGATGTCGATGCCGAGTCTGGTCAGGGTCCAAGAGGATGATTGAGGCTGCCTTTGCCTATTGATTCTATTTGCTGAACCACGGATTACTGAGGTCCTGCAGTGCTGGCGACTTTGACGCGGGTGGATGGGTTGACTTCAAGCCGGTTGGTGTAACAAGATGGGTGAGATAAGATGGTTAGGCTAAGCTGATGGTTGATGTATGTGGATGGGAGAAGAATGATCAACACATCAAGTCAAATGTGTCCGAGATTGTTTCGAGGTTGCTGTGCTTTGCTCGGCTTGAAATAGATGGTCGAGATTCGAGATGTTTGTTCGGGATCGAGATGGTCTTTTAAAAGGACTGCATTACATCAGATCCAAAGAAGCCATCAACGTCAGGTCGGCGGAGTTGGAGTTGCGCTGGAATCAAGGTCCCCGATTCGAAACAAGAATGCCTTCTAAGCTCCGTCGTAGGGGGATCCCAATCAGACGGGACAGCCGCCTGTGTCTTATAATCAGGAAGCAGGGTTATCCACTGCTCGGCCGGGATCCAGAGAATGCGAGCTGTCCATGCTGGTCCGTCTGGTCATGAACACAGCATGACATGACGCTGCAATGTATGTTGGTCGTGGCCTAGTCTGGACCATCTGCCTCGGGGAGAGACTGGACGGTACTTTGCAGAGACGAAGCCGAGTGTGCGCCTCGCTCATGTGGGTTATGCGAGGATAAGGCTCGTAATGGTGCCGTCAAGGGGAAGGCAGGTTGGGCGGGTCTGCTGCGGTGACTAGGCGGTACATGCCACTACATCGGGTGTGGAGGTTGCTAAGTTCCCGAAGACAACACCTTTGAGCAAGCTCTGCAAGGGTTAAAGAACCCAGGCAAAACGAGAGGAACAGAGAGTGAGAGACTGCTCTTGACGAAAACCCTCCGAGCTCTCTCCAATCCCCACTCGTCCGTACTTCGACCGTGACCGTGACCGTAGGGCTCTCTCCCTCTCTTTCTCTGTCCAAGACGTACCTTGCGTACGTTCTCTTGACGCCGACAGAGATCCGTCGTTAAACCCTCCAGTCCGTTTTGGGCAAAAGGGTGTAGGAGTGACCGTCCTGTAACGAATTTCCGTCCCGCGGATTTGTACACATCCCTCCCAAGAGAGCTCAGCAGTTCCCCGGCCAAGGTTTAGCGTTGTGCGATCGATCAGTCCGTCCTAGGTTTCTCATAATCACAATTTCCAGATTTGTGCACATCGGCGGGATGTGACGGGGCCGGTAGCGGCGCGAACAAATCCCACTTGATTCCCGTACGCCAAGAGGCCGGCCAGTTGATGAGGCCGGCGCCGAGGGCGGGGTCCTCAATTCTCGTCCGTCTTCAACGATAAGCACTTTTGATCAGCACAACATCGGGGCCGCGATGTTGAACGGCGCGGCGAAATTGCAAGTTCTGGACTCAAATGGAGACCAGATGGAAAGGCATGACCATATTGATGACGCCAGAGGCCGGTGTCTGCCAGCTGGCGTTGCTGTGCGTGGTAGGTCCCTGAACAAAAATGCCAATTCGGGCAAACAGACAGGGAGCCGGGGTTGATGATTCATGATCGATCAAGACCACTGGGCTGCGCCAGAAGTCTCGAGTCGCCTATCAACGCCTTTTAGGCCGCCAAGTGATTCCTCCCTTTTTTCGAGTTTTTGTTTGCTTGAGCCAAGATGCTTCGCCGGCGTCGACTCAGTCCGACGAGCAATATGCGTTATGAGCAGCAAGACGGCCTTTTTTCTGCCCACCAAGGGCGTTTCTCGGCGGCAGCGCTTGAGCGCGTGTGAACTGACCGCCAGACCGGTTTGGAGAACAGACATCGATAGAAGGTCGAGCTCAGCTTCATGCAGGGACTTCCTCGTTGTGTGTAACGGTGCTGACAGCCTTCTGTGCCTCGTGTGCCTCGTGTGAAAGGCCGCGGCGGACGGACATTTGTGTCATCTTAATTTATCCATGTTCAAGACGGCATACTGTCGATGCTTGCCGAAGTCTAGCATGCGCCAAGAACGGCGACTGTGAACTCGGCGATGCCTCTTACGGCTGCATGGGAGGGCAAGTTGGACCTGACCGCAAAGTCTAAGTCAAAGGTAGGTCGAGTCGGAGACGGAAGTTTGACTCTGGAGTAGTTGAGTTGAGGCGAATTGAGGCAATGGCAACTCTGAGCAAGAGCTTTAAGGTGGTCAAGACACCAAGAAGGTAGGTAGGGTGATTCAAACTTCTGGCCAGCGCAACCCTCTGTGCGGCGGGAGCGTGCAGCTAAGGTACTTAGGTCGTGGCCCGCTATCAAACCCATCTGATACTGTGACACTCACTGCCCAAGGGTGCAGGACAACGTCAAGGCGGGCAGTTTCGTGGAGTGAACCTTATCCTCCGTTTTGGGGTAGAAGCCGCCATGCTGTTCCCTGCCGAGGCTGGTGTGGACGGCTCGCCACGGCGGCGCGCGGAGCCAATGGTTCGTGATCGATCGCGAGTAGATCGGGGACTTGAGCAGTGTAAAAAAGTCCGGCGAGGTCGAGAAGAGATGCTTCGGGGTTGCTTGACAACCAACTCGCCGATACAGTGATACAGTACCTGTACAGCGTGGAGGAGAACGGCGGGGCACAGACGACATATTCCATTGACTGCGAGGCCGTTCTGTGGCCCGCTCGCGTGTTGGCGGGAGGTTGTCGAGACAGCCGCACAGAGCAGAGGCTCGCAAGGCCAGCACGAGGTGATCATGGGCAGGTTTTGGACTGAACGTATAGCATTCGGTGGTTAATGCAGTGGCAGTCGGCGATGTCAAGCAGACCTGGCCAAGCGATGTAGTTGTGTTGTTGTCGATGTATAGTACCGGAACGCATCAAGCTGAGTGGGGATTAGCGTACCCGTTGTCCTGATGACCTCGGGATGTACCAGACGCATGCCTTCACCACCATCATGGCCGTTGGAAATGTTGGAAGAGGTTGTGGCTCGGACAGCGAGCTGCCAATTTGCCTCCGTTCACCAACCACCTGGACAACCACCACCCAGCGGCAGTATCCCGGCCCGTTTGCCAAGGCTCGAGGCTTTGCTGCAGTGCTGTTGACGTTGATATTAGTACGAGTACGAGCGCCCAGACCGGTGAATACCTTCTGGTTGGCCAATTCTTGATCCGGGCACCAGACGGAGGAACGCAGGAATAAGCAACGGCGATCGGTTTCGTCCAGGCCAAAAGACCAGGGCTAATTAGACTATCAGTCGTGGAGACGTCAGAAAAAAAGATGTGGGATGCAATGTGTCAATGGAGAGGTTTGGAATGGAGGATCAGGTACAAGTCTGACTGATTGTCTCACTCCACGTCCACAAGCGGTGGTAATGGGAAGGAAACAGTGAAGGCAGGCGCAGGTCAGGTACCTTGAGGGGCGTGGGTGGAGCTGTGCCGAGGTGCTGGGTGGGTCCAGGAGATAACACTGAGGTGTTGAATTGTCATCACTGCGTGCATTGTACGTACTTCGTAGGGCACAGTGTTCCCGGCGAAATAATTAAGTGATAACGTGAACTTGCCCGCCCGGTTACTGCCTCATAGGACTTGACATAATATTATTCTTACCAGGACCAGCTTACGGATCCTATCGAAATCCCCCTCATCAAAATATTTTCCTCGTGAGTCACCGGCGCAAAAGCTTTACAGATCATCCATGCGGTAAAGATACTTGAATATCTAGAAGGTGTGTGTGGACAGCTGGTGGTGTTGCATCTGTCAAATGTGATGATCGAATGCACCGTTGGCATCACGTCTTGCTTCGTCCCGTTGCCCCGTGCCGATCGGTTCACGGGGTTCTTGTTGCACAATGGAAATCCGTGGAGGCCCGGCTGGAGGTTCCGCGGAGCGGAGATAACAAGCCCGAGAGGAATTTACCGTCGCTTGAGTTTGGTTCCTACCGTCCACATCCACTTCCTCATCGCGATGTGCTTACTTTTAGTGCTTTAGTGTGAAGGATGAACTATGAGATGTCTATCCATCCCTACCGCGAGCGGTGTCCAGGACAAGACCGAGCTTTCAAGGTTAGCCCCGAGTAGCGTGCTCGTGGTGAAGCGTAGCTCTGAATCTAGCTGTTAATTCTCATCAAGAGGTGATATC